GTGACACTGTCCCTCCTGTGCTGCCTCACTGTGCTCTGGCCTTGGTTTCGTACAGAAAAGAGGTTTATGTGCTCATTTTCTTGGAGAGCTCCCTTCTGTGGGCAGGGGAGGGAAACCCTGGGGAAGAGTGCCCTGGACTCCAGGCACCGCCGGAGGGAAGCACAGCATAAAAAGTTACACTTATCCAGTGTGGTGCCTGTAGCCTTCACTATAAATGTATCCCTTTTTTATTTTAGGTCAAAGCCATTTACATTCACACTGATATGTTCTCGGTACAGAACGGTTTGTTGACACCAACGTTAAAGGCCAAGAGACCAGAACTAAGAGATTACTTCAAAAAGCAAATAGAAGAGCTATATTCAAGCATCTCCATCTGAAATCACAGGAAGAAGAATCTCCTGAGTAATGGACTTCATAGCAATATTAGAATAATACTCAAAAAGTACAGAGCCAGAATGACACTACTGAAATGGATAAGCACCTGAATCTTATATTTGAGCCTTTCATTGTTCTAGGATTTCGCCACTAACCACATTTTTCCTTCTTTTTTCCATCAGGTGTGATACGATTTCTTTTTTACTCTATGCACAGGGTACTACTAAGAGTTATGCTAAATTGCCACAAAATATACAGACATTTCAATCTATGACTAAATTATGGAAACTTATTAATAACTACAAACGTTTCTAATTAAAATAGGGAAAATTTCAGGTATGTCTGTTAATATTTGATTGTATATAACCTAATACATTAAAAACTAAAATTATGGATAATTCAATAATGTGGTCTACCTCAAACAATCAGTGATTGATGGTGAAAGTCTATTTTCTCTGATTTGGAACTTCAAGATGGATATTGGTTTATATATGAAGTGATAGTTTTTATATTTTCCAGGACATAAATGACATTGATTTGATTTAATCATTAATGACCTAACTAATGACCAGAATAGAAATAGGAAGGAATCTCCTGCTATTTGTACTTAATAGACCTATTAGTATATTACATCTAACGGATAAATGTTACCTTGAACTTGCAAGAACAGGGTGGGCAGCGATAGGATAGAGTTCCCTCTATTTCCTTTTCATCCCAAGGCAGTTTATCCATGGCATGCTGATTCTGCACTCGGGCTCCTCCAGCCCAGTGCACTCATGGACATCTGAACTGCTCAAACTGAGAAGGTTGCAAAAGCATTGCTGGCTCTGAGGCGGCTTTCGGTGGGAGTTCACGATAATCCACATGCTCCCAGTCCCCAGTTTGTTACTTTACATGCTGCTAATCCTGCATAGTCCAGCTGGACTAACTCCCTCTCGGAAACAGCGCTGAAGAAACGGAGCCCAGGGAATAAGCTGTGATTCTGGACGGGGCTTAGCACAATGAGTGGGTTTGGGAAGAGGCCAGCCTGAGGCGCAGCAGTGGAGGGCATCCTTTGTCTGGCCACGGAAGGGGAAGGAATACTGCTCCCAAGGGGCCATGGGGATGGTGAAAGGCTGTGTTAGCCATCCCTGTGCCAGGTGTCACAGGATGGCAGAACACTGGATGTGGTGGCAGAAAGGCCTGCTGAGAAAACATCTCCATGTCCGGACGTCTGGAAGCATCAAGTCCCCCTGGCATCACTTCCAGTGGCCTCTCTGGGATAAGCAGCAAGTTGTCTGGATGAAACCTTAGATTTCTGTGGTCATCAGAAAGCAGAAAAGTCTCACAAGGAACAGGAACAGACTCTAGAGCTCTTTCCTGATACAAAGCACGGTACAAAACAATGAGAAAACTGTTATGTCAAGTCACTTGAATACGTGGACTGTCGATGGCTTCTTTCTGCTAAACAGGATTCTAAATATCTGTGTGTATTGTACTAGCTGCTGTTTGCTGCACCAGTGCATACTAGCATGGAGCTGTGCCTGCTAGATCTTTGCTAGGACAGTGAAAGCACACTTATTTTTTTCTCTTAAACTGGAATCCGCTGTAGACTTTTGAAGCTAAAGGTTAAAATTTTTAGTCTAAACGGTCTCTTATTTTCCCTCTGAAATTCCGTTGCATGCTTCCAAATGAAATAAATCGAATTAATGGGTTAGTGTTACACCAAGACTGATTTATTGAAGTGATTTCAGAATAAAATGATACAAAGGAAACCGCAGCAGTAACATAATGACTCATAAAGAACGTGGCGATTTGGTTTATCAGATGTGCGTTTGTCTGAATCCCTTTTTGCGCCCGATTCCTCATTTGATTCCAGCGCAATGACTCATATCAGTCCAAAGCAACTACGAAATATCTGAGATCTGCTGGGATCACACAATCATTTTTCACCAACGTACGCAGCAACAGCATCCCTGGGGAATTGGTGTGCACCACGTCAGCAGAGCACAGGAATTACTGTGTCAAATTTGGCTCTTTAGGTCAAGTCAGAAAGGATTCTTATCTCGGCGGAGTCTAGTTCATCTCCTTTTTGTATCAGCCAAAAGACAGTCATTACATACACAAAGCTCCAAAGCAATGGAGAATTAGATTCAGTACAATTTCCTGTCTGTTTTAATGTGACAGGGTTTTAAAATAAAAAACCCCAAAGCCTAGTCATCCCTATAAGCAGAGAAAAGCTACTTTTTCACTGACCTTTTCCAACCGTTCAATTTACTTTTTTCCTAAGGTGATTGCAGGCTTTTCAGGACAACTAAACTCTGTGTAAGTATAAAAGATCCCACTATAAGTTTATTTACAGCTTAGGTGGCTGTTATTTTTACATATATAATGAATAATAATGTATCTGTCTTCTTCTTTTGGTATTTGATGCAAAATGTCAGATGCACAATAGCCAAAGAGATGAACACCGAAAGAATAAGAAATAAAAATACAGACTTGGCCACATTAGAATGATGCAAAATCTGGGAGAAATTGTGTTGTCACACCAAAAGTGCGAATACTTTCAGAACTTGTGAAAAGTTATATAAATAAACTAAAAGCTCTCTTTTATACTTTCTTGTGTAATCAGATTTTCCTCTGCAGGTCGCTCTCTCTTGCCATAATCATAACAGTGCTGTAAGAGATTAACACTTGAAAAGTGTAAGGCATGAGCTCAGCACAATCTTGCTTCTCCTCAAATTCCAGGAATATTTATTTTGCATCGAGCTTTCTTAAACTGAAACGCTTCTTGTGACCACCAAGGAAAAATAATCCCCAGGGCTGTCCAATAACCAGTTGTTTGGTTTTTTGGAGTTTTTTTCCCCTCAGGATAACTAATTACAAAATTAGTTTCTATTGTTCATCTTATTTAAAGAGCGGAGACTCTTTTTGCAGAGTACTGCGTTCTCGGACATGTTAAACATGGGAGGTTCTTCCTGAGCCTGGTGCTATGCCTCTGGAATCACTGGAAGACTCTCATATTTAAAAACCAGAAAAAAATACATTTTCCAGGAAGAGAATCTTGCTTAGTTATGTATTTTGTATGTTCTTTGCTCAATGTATTGCACAGAGAAAATACCATTCTGCCAAGACGCACCAAGTGTGAGCAGAAACCAGACCAGAGTCTTAACCCCACGTGGGCAGGAAACACATGGAATAATCTGTCCTGAAAGGCACATTTGCAGTTTAAAATGCTTGACGCACATCAGGTGAGAGAGAGACGGTGAGTTTTTGTTGATAAAGTACTATTTTGCAATCTGTCCTCACTGTTAGTCAGCATCTGTCAGCATCGGTAAAGTCCAGTCTCGTTTTTGCCATGAATATGAAATTTCTCATGTATAACAAAATAATCTGACTCGATCTTCTGGAATTAAAAAATTAACTTGGAATTTTTTTTTTAATTTTATGTGTGTTAAAAGCACAAACTGCTGATCTATATGTAAATAAATGCTACAAGATGAATGTAAACTGGGAAAGAATATACTATTTTTGCATGGTAGTAGGTTACTTAAAGACCTCTTGATGCCTTACAGAGAATTTGGAAAAGCATTTTATTTAGAGGCAATTCTATTGGCGTACTTTTTGTATTTTAGCTCACTTTGGTTTTCTCTGGGGGAAAAAAAAATCAAAATTGGATCTTTGTTTCTTCTTGGAATTAACATTCTTCAGTATTTTGCACATGTGGTGGTTTCTACATCACCTTTTCTCCTGTGAAATGGGGAAGCTTTTCAGAGAAGAGATCTAGATGCTTGTAGTCTGGGAGGGAAAAAGGTTTAGATCCCTGGAATTGCTCCAAAATGAAATGTTTTCTGAGGCATCTGGAGCCCCTTTAAGCCCTTCATTTCAGCTTTTTGTTATGTATTTTAGCAAAGTAAAAGCAGTGAACAAATGGGGTATTTTGGTGAGTGTTGCTTATTCTATTTTCAACTGAAAGTGAAGGGGGTTAAAATATAACGTATACATTTGTGTAAAAAAAAATCTTAACTGTAATTAAAGATTTTTCAGTTTTGGTATATTAGCATGTATATCAAAGAATCATCTATGGAAACTTTTGTAAAGAACTAACTTTTCACCTTTCTCAAAAGTGCTCATGAGATTTTCTTGTGGACTGACATACAATAAAAGCTCTTTTTTAAAAGCTGTTGCTCCTCCAGTGACACTCTGTCCTCACCATGGTTATGAAGTTGTTCAGAACGCGTGCCTGGACTAAACGTGTTGTAAAAATGAGAAATTATGTAAAATAAAATAACGACCAAAGGACTATTGGAACATGAGATTGATTGTAGCAATCTCCTATGAAAAAAAGAATTGTTGCAAAGCTCTCTGAAGATGCAGAAGTCTTTCTGTAATGGCTTCTTTTTTTTTTTTTAATTTAAAATCAGTAATAACATAGCCAAATGTATATGCTTGTTTAATATGAATTGACAATTGGGAATGCATAGTATTTTTTCAGACTATGTGTCTAAACCAATAAAGTTTCAAAACATTTGGGCTCTATTCCGGTTTTTACGTGCACTTGCATCTCCTTTCGCTTGGAAATCCAGGGATGCCTGGAAGTGTCGAAGGCCGGGTTGGACGGGGCTTGGAGGCACCTGGGACAGTGGAAGGTTTGGAAGGGGGTGGAACTGGATGGGCTTTAGTCCCTTCCAAGCCAAACCGTTCTATGGTTCTGTGAGTTTGCTTCATTACATGAAACATTTGAGCTACGAGATCCCTCACAGCTGCAACACGGGGCTGGTCAGTGAAAGGGGTATCGCACACATGATTTATTTACTCCGTTTTCATACAGGGTTTGCTTTACTCAGAGGGTGGCGAGGCCCTGGCACAGGTTGCCCAGAGCAGCTGCGGCTGCCCCATCCCTGGCAGTGTCCCGGGCCAGGCCGGACGGGGCTCGGATCATCCTGGCAGGGTCAGAAGGGTCCCAGGCCAGGCTGGACGGGCTTTGACCAGCCCGACACGGCCGGAGCGGTCCCGGCCGGGACCCGCCGGGTCCGGGCCCTCAGGGCGGGCCGGGGCGGCCGCCCCGCGCATGCGGGCGGGGGGCGAGGGGCGGTGTCGGCTGAGGGGCCGCGGGGCAGGGCGGGTTCGCTCGGGGCCAGCGCCGGTGTTCCCGGGGCCAGCGCCGCTTCTCCCGGCCGGTCATGGAGCGGCAGCGCATCCCCCGCGCCCCCCGCGCCGGGAAGGCGCCGCGGAAGAGGCGCCGCGAGTCCCCGCTGCCGGGGGCGGCCGCACTGCCGGGCCGGCGGGCCGGGCCGCCCCAGCCGTGCCGCCGGAGCCTGTTCGGCAGAGCGGGGCCGCGCAGGCCCGAGCCCGGCTGTGAGCGCTGCCCCGCGGGGCCGGGGCCGGGGCTGGGGCTGGGGCCGGGGTCGGGGGGGCGGGCAGGGCCCTGCACTGTGCCCGGGGGCCGCTCGGGGCCGTGCGGGCCGGGTGTGTATCGGCGGCGGGTCCTCGCACGCGGGTGCTGCGTGAGGCTGGGAAGTGGTTTCTTCTTGTCCGTGTCCCTCACGGCTTGGGGAAAGCAGGCAGCTGTTCTGGGAGCAGGAGGGGTGTTTCCTCTGGTTTGGCTGCTGGTTAGTCATAAAGCCACTTCTGTAAAGTGGCTTCCCGCCGTCTGATCGTAGAACGTCTCGAGCTGGAAGGGGCCCTGTAGAAAGGTCCAGACAAAAGCCTTGCTCCCCTTTGGGGGTATACCTCAAAAACTGCTCAGGCTTGTTGCTCAGGAGCTGCCTCGTTGAATGCAGTGTAGCTGCTACCAAGTTAAGAACTGCAGACCTTTAAGAAACAAAATGCAGTCTGAGGGGAAGGGATGGGATTCAAGGCTAAAGTAAATGGGATGTCTTGATCCCATGCTGGGCTTGGTAATTTAAGGTGAGGCTTTCCTGTTACAACATTTGTTTGTGATAATAGGGTCAAAAAGGTATTATGGGGATGGAAGGGGGAAATAGCTAAAGGGGCCCTATTAGAAATAATAATCTAAATTCTAATATTGAAATTATCATTACTGAACTAAATACTTATTTTTCTCTAGGCCCCAAGAAAAAGTTCAGTGGGAAAACTCTACCAAAAATTACAGAAAATCTTGAACTCATTGAGGAGAGCCCTTCATGCAACCAAAGGTCTGTTAGAACTCATTCAAACACACCATTATTAACATTAGCTAAGCATTTGTATTGTTTTGCCTTGTGAGGTGGCTCTTGGAACTATGCAATCTGAATTATCAGTGCACTGATGTTTGTCAGACTATTTATTGGTGTTCCATAAAGACATTTTATAGTTGTTGCCTTTCTCTAAAACAGTGTAGCTCTGTGGTTGAGCTTAGTTCTGTTCTTCAACTGCAGCAATCAAGTGAATGTCAGAGAAACAAGAGACTTGGAAAAAGAAGAAGAGGAATCAGAAGAAAGCAATGCATCACTGAAGGTGAGAATTATGTCTTGCTTTTTATCTACTCGTAATTGTCTGGAGGATAAACCAAAGAAATGTGACATGCTAAATTGTTTTTATAAGCAGGTAAAATTTCCTGTGAGTTATGTGTGTGTGCACACGCGTTTTTCAGGCTGAACTTGGAATCTACTGCCTGCATGTCATAGTTTGTATTTAGAGAAATGGTTTAAGATTCTGAAAGTAAGAACTGGGCCTCTAAAAAAAAAATTCAAAAGCCAGTGAAGTTGATGTCAGTATGCCTTCACTGGCATCTCATCCAGGAAAGACTGTAGGATCAAATGATGGGGTGTTCATCATGAATTTTAGAACTATAAGTCACATTGCAGATTTGTTAATGGTGTAAGAAAAAACGTGGCACAAATTACTGTGAATAGCAAGTTTAAGGGGTGAAGTACCAGACAATGAGTTTCTAAGCATCTGCTGGTATAGATGATATTTAATTGCATTTCTTTGTCTACATCCAGTTTTCTCAAGTTGTTTGTATTGGTATTTTAATTTTAGAAATCCTCAATGATCAGCTTTGAAAGTAAAGAAAGTTTGCAAAATGCAGAAATGACTTCAAGTGAGTATAATGGCAATACATTATATTATTAAATATACTTTTATATCTATATTTTATATCTATATAAAACTAAATGTAAAATTAATTATGTACTTATAATTACCTTTCTATAAAAGTACTGGTCTTGTACTGTGCTGTTCTTGTGCTGGTTCTGACTGTGATAATTGGAAGGTGAAGGTTTTGAGACCACTAGACTCGTGGCTCTTATTGCAGCAGGAGGCTTTGGTTCACATGAGCTGCTTGGAGGCAGCACAAACAGACCTACAGCACCTAAGACAGTCTTTTGAGCCCAGCCTGCTGGAAGCCCCATGATCTTGGTTTTATCCTTGACAGAACTAGTTGTGGACATGAGTTCTTCAGTTTACTCAAACCTGCATTTTTAAAAGCTTGTGACTAAATAGTTTGTCCTTCTGAAAACAAACCTGTTGAAGAATTACCCTGTCAGAGGCTAAATTCTTCAGGTGTGCCTTGTGAGCCTTGGGCAAGGAAGGTGTCTTCTCTTAGCTTATGGTAGTGTAGATTTGGCTTCAGGATGCCCTTTCTTTGCTTCTTCAATTGTATTATGACTCAGTATAAAGTACTGACTTGACAATATTTAGCTCATCACAGGAATGAAACTTAAATAAGGAAATCCTGATGGTTTCTGCAAGATGAAACTTTTCTTTAGCCACCTATTTTGTCTCTTTCTTTAGGTACAGGAATGACTCTTCCCACAGGTGTTTCAACCTTTCTCATTCAGTGTTTAGATGCCGATTCAACTGCAGATTTTAACAATACTAGTGACAGCCTGCAGAGTTACTCATCCCCTGAAACATTCAGAGATGATGATTCAGGTGAGACTTTGGGGTTGTTTGAGCTTTATTTGATGTAGAAAATGTGGGGAGACTGTTGACAATAAAAAGACTGGTGGTCTCTCTGGGTGTGACTCACCAGATCACATCTTTGCTGCAAGCCAACCTGTCCTCCAGTCTGGAGTGAATCAGGTCCTGATGTAATTTCCATCACACTTTAAATTTGAAGTATTCACAGTTGATACAAGCTGTTTATTGGGGATGACCCACTGAAGTGCTTTGAGTCAAACTCCTTCCAAACTTTTCTGCAGCTGTTTGAGCCAAGACAATACTTTCATTTAGTTCCCATCCTCCAAATGTGATTGCTTTCAGTTTGTCACAAATTTAGTAATTGGATGAATTTCAGCATAAGAAGCCTGCACTTATATCTTTTATGTGCAGAAAGAAGTCATTTTTACTCTGTGGACCTTGGCAAGTACAAGAACTCTACTCTACTGGACTCCAGCAAAGCAGTGACCATTGATAAGATAGCACAGATCTCAAATCTTTCAGCAATATTAGGTAATTCTTTTCTACGATTCTTCAGGATACACACATAAACAAATTTCATTTTGGTGCAAGAAACTGGTATAAAATATATAATGATCATTTTATGTAAGGCCTGTCTGCATAATGGGGAGCAGCTCCCTGCTAGTGGTCTGTGTTTGCTTCTAATATTGTGCTTTAGAAATTAGTTTGCACTAGAACGTTGTCTGGTCTAAGCTATCTTAGCTTTTTCATTTAAAGTTTAGCTTTTATGTTGTTGTTTTTTTTTTCTAGAACCTGTACCAAAGGATTTTCAAGACCAGTGCATTAGAAGGTAATCTGCACAGCAGACTCTTTGATGCACCTAAGTGTTCAGGTTTTTCTCTTTTGAGTGATGCTTTAAAGAAAGGCCAATACGAATAAGCCTCTGCTCCTGCAAACCCTTCTGTGGAGTTTCAGCTACCTGTGTCCTCACTAACTTTGACATTGGTGCATTAAGTCAGGGAAGAGTTTGCCTTACAGACTTCTGGCTTGGCCTTGCAGCTCTAGGGAAGTTGATATAAGAGAACTCAGTGAAGGATTTTATGGAAGAGGAACGTGACATTTATTTACAAAATCCCTAAATAAGTTGCTTTTTTCCAGTTGCACTATTTCTGCCAGATTTCCTTCAGTCACAGGCAGCAAAAGGGGTGTGCCCAGGTGCCTGGCCAGGCTTGCTGTGCAGTGCAGAATATGAAGGGTACCTGTTGTTAAGTCCTTCTGAAGTCTCTGACATTCTGTGCTCACCCAGAAAAAAATCAGGTTTGGGGGCAGATCTTTTATGTTCTTAAGCAATTTCAGGTATCCTCAGGATAAGCTGTGACTTCATGATGAACTATCAAAGAACTTTAAGGTGTGATGAAGCAACTCTGTAACAATATTTTTAAAAATAAGCTTTATCCTTTTCACTCAGCCTATATTTTCCTAGGATTTCTGTATTCGTAGGTTTTTTAATGTTAACATTCATTCAGAATAGTTGTTCACTTTTTTTTCCTCTCCTAGAAAGAGACCATCAAATTGCAATTACAGTTCTTCAGCATTAGGCATTTCAGCTACTCTGTCAGGTAAAATATGACCAGCAGCAGTTGTACTAGCTGTGAGAACAGGATATGCTACCCAAACTTAAGTGATGGCACAGTTTCTAAACCAGGTTTCTACTGGATCATTTGTCCTCCAGCACAGACTCTGTCTTGAAGGAGAAGTGTATATTGAAAAAATCTTCCCTGTAAATAAGACTTGGTTCTAATTTATGTGTTAGGAGAAGAAAACAAAAACAACCAACCAACCAAAGTCTCAAACCCTGCATTTTTCCATTTAATCACCCATGATGCTCAATGAAAGTTGATATTTCTTATTTAACTTACCTGGGAACAGAACTGTTCGTGTCATGCTCTTTGAACTTATACCAGCTTCACAAATACTAGTGAGTCCCTGATGGAACTCAGTTCTGATCTGTGACTGATGCAGTTCTGTGGCCCAGGTACCACATAGTTTTCCCCTGCTTAATTTGGAGGGTAATAGCAGCAGAATTTGCCACTGGCAAAGACTGCTGTGATTATGAAGGTCTCTGCTCCCACAGTGTGTATGTCCAGCAGTAAATAGCCAAGTGAACATAAGATTAACAGGCAACCTTGTTTCCTTAAGGAATGGGAGAGGAGTAAAGCAGTCCTGATGGTGGGGAGAGGGAGATGAGGACTGTATTGAAGGGAGGAACTGTGTTTACATGGGTGGCTTTGGAATTATTCCTCTTTGAAAACCATCCTGTAAGACATGGGGTGGAAGAGTAGCTGTGGTCTTTGTCTCAAAGTTAATTAATTTGTTGGAAATTTGTCACAGGAAAAAAGCTCTGTAAAATTACAGCTGCAAGAGAGAGAACTCCAGACCTAAAAAGTGGTATGCGCTGTGCTTCACCCTTAGGACCGGACAGCAAGGTGAAAGATCCTTAATAAATCAGCAAGGTTGTGACACAAATGACTTGCTTTGGGTGGAAAACTCCACCTAGAGGAGTAGTAGTTCCTGCTACACCTGTGGAAGGGGTGCCTGCAGCCAGGGCAGAGAATGAGGATGCAGTTGCCTCTCCCTCTCCATAGAGGAACAGGCAGGGATGCCCCCAAGCTCAGTGTTTTTCAGACTGGCTTTGCCAGTGGTACTGAGTCAGTGTGTGGAGCTTGACTGTGACAGAGGGACTCTCTTTTTTTAGTGCTTACCAGGCTGCAGAGAGTCACTTTGTAATAAGAAATGTAATTGTTTCCCTCTTCAGCCTGACAAGCAAACTGCTAAACCCAAAAGGGTGAAGCGTAAGGAAACAGGAAACAATTCTAATCCAGCAGAAGAAGGTTCATCATCATTCAGGCAGCTTGGTGCCCCAGGAAACACTTCAGCCAAACCAGGGGGGTTGACAGCAGAAGTTGTGCCAACCAAACCAACAGATGCTGTGGTGGTGAGTATTCCCATTGTGTCCTGCTGATTAGCAGTGGCATGAAATGAGAAGTGAGAGTTTTGAATTGTGGCAAAAGTTACCATTAAATAGGAGAAGTGGCAGGAAATGCCACATCTGAAATGTCTGTGCTGCTGTAAACTAGTTCTTTGTCTTAATTTTGGAAAGCACAAGACCAAAAAAAAAAAAGTGAATGACAGGAATTCAGTTCTTAAATCTGAAGAAGTATTAGTAATTCTAAATTGAGTTTTTACAGTATTGTGTACTAAGGGGATATTGAAGGAGTAATAATAAACAGCAAAGAATTTGGATCTGATGCTGAGTTCTTCTCTGTTTTTATTTAGCAAATGACTTCCACCATGCTGATGATTGAGGAAAATAAAGCTCTAAAAAATCCTGGTAATGCTCAGCTTGCACAGCTAAAGGTGAGTGTCTGTCCAGTGCTTTTTTGTTTTAATGATCCAAACCAAAAAAATCATTCCTTGTGGCACAGTCCAGTTGTGGCTATACATGTTACTATGCAAATTGCACAACAAACTATGATAAATTCTATTAGCTGGACAATTAGAAAACCCTCAACCAACCCAACCTAGGAATCTGGTTTGTATCTTTACAACATCTTCTGATGTAAACCCAGCACTAGTAGCCTTACTTGCACAACCCCTTCAGTAGAAATTTGATATTTAAATGGCAGTTTGAATTCTTTGGCAGTACAGGTAGTACAGTACTGCCACTTGTCTCTGCACACTTGAGTTAATGCATACTAGACTAACAAACAGAGAACATCAAGGTCTTGTTGCATTCCTAAATAATTTTTTTTAAGCAATAGAACATCTTTTGTATGAGCCAACAAGCATTATCCAATCTGAATTGTTGTCTGTTATTTAACTGGGTGGTTATTCCTGTATATTTTGTATTTTGATGGAGCTGTAGCTCAGCTTGTCGCCAGTGTGCAAAGCCTCACCTGGGGAAAGCCTGTTCCTGAATACCACAGGTCCATGTGTAAATTCAGAAGAAATTGTTCCTGCATCTCTGAGCTCAGAAAAGGAAATTATTCCTCAAAGTCCAGAAGAAAAGAATATTTTTAAGGTTCTAATTTTATTGCACTTTTTAAATCCAGTTTTGGCATTCTAGTATGTAGTGTACTGTATATTTAAACCTTACAGTATTAAAACAGCTGAAGAGAATGTTCAAGCTCTGAAGCTTTCTCTCACCCTTTACAATAGCATATTAAATGTACACAAATAGTCTTAAATATTTTCTAGTGGCATCCCTTGAAATCTGCATTTCACCTGTAATTTCCCTACAAGAAAGCTGAAAAACTATTTCTTCAAGGGGAATAGTTGTGTGAATGAAATGTCATTAATCTTTTCAGCCCCCATGTGACAGACAAGAAATCTGCTCCATTGTTAGACTGTCACCACACCAGAGGCCTTCCAGGCTGCAGCAAGTTCCAGTTATCAGGAAAGGGTTCTCCCTTCCCAAAGGAGTGCCTGAAGGTGAGAGAATAAACACTTGGTTTGCTGTGCAGGTGGTAACTGGTTAGTTAAGTGTTTAAGGGTGGTTGTTTTTTTTTTTAAAGTCTGAATATTTTGAAAAAATCACAAGGCTGACAAGAGTAAAAGATGCAGAAAACTTCAAATTTCTGACTTATCAGTGCTCTTGTGCAACAGGACTCACTGAAACTGCACTAGCACTTTCTCCGAGGATCTTTAGCACAGGAATTGATACAGTCATAGGCTATATCATAATTAAGGTCAGAAGGTGCTCTAGGTAACTCTGGGAATATCTGTGCCTCTTCAAGTTACTCCTGAAGTAACTTGTTGCCCAGAGAAGCTGTGGCTGCCCCATCCCTGGAAGTGTCCAAGGCCAGGCTGGACGGGGCTTGGAGCAACCTGGGCTGGTGGAAGGTGTCCCTGCCCATGGCAGGGGGTGGGATGAGATGATCTTTAAGGTCCCTTCCAACCCAAACCATTCTGTGGTTCTATGATTCTAAACACAACTTTGAGGTTTCCCTGCTGGTGTGGAGATTCCTTAGAAAAGTTACCTTCTTCTTTAATGAGTTATTATCTTGTCTTTATTTCTAGGGTAAGTCTGACTTGAGCTTTCAGCCATTGGTGTGGTTTATGTCATGCTCAGTATTGCCCCCCATCCTCAAAGCAGTTCAAGTTATCAGTTATGTTTTTCTTTAAAAATCACCACTTTCCCTTAAGGTTTCTGTTCTTTTCTCCTGAAACCCTTAACACAGGGGAAGCTCCTTTCTTCACTTCCTAGATTTTTGTTAAACAGAAATGAGAACTGTGAACAAAACTGTCTCATCACTGCCACAGAGGTAAAACCCCCTCCCTTTGCCGTCTCCGGTGAAGTTTCTCGGTGTGCCACTGGATGGCACATGTCTTCCGAAGTTTAAAGTAGTTCTTCACAATGTCTGCAGGTTTTCTGCAAGGTGTGTGTCATTTAATCCAATACAGAGATACTGCCTAAGTGTGACAGCTCTCAAAAATACTGAGCACACACAAATTTTCATTTGCAGTCTCTTAGCTCCAAATACTCTCCAACTTTATTACCAGTTGAGTTTCATGCAGCATCTAGAATGCAGGGGAATGCTTTTAAGTGTGTGTATGTATTAATTAATGGCACTGATGCTTCTGTACAGATCAAAGAACTAGGGTGCTAGGTCATGTGTCCTAGGAAAGTTGTAATACAGAACACAGGTTGTACTTGGTAATCACAAATAGGCAAGTGGTGGTGTCAAAACAAAAGTTTGGGGTTGTTCCTGCTTTTCTGGAGGATCCTGGGATCAGGAATCAGACTACTTGTGGTGGGGGTTTTATGCTGAATGTTTTATTCTCTGCACAAGGAGTCTTTCAGATGATGCTGGTTTTCATTAGGAATGTACAGGTACTCAAAACTATTGTTCTGTCCTCACTGGCAAATGACCTGCAAGATCCAGACTCCTCCAAACAAATGACAGCCTGGATATCTAGTGAACATCTCAACAGCTGGTCAGATCAATGAGCTTTCTCTTACACTTGAGAATGTGCCACTTTACTGATAGTTATTTATCACTTTTTTTTTCCCCAGATACTATTACAAGTACCAAAAATTGGATCTGCTGTGAACAGAGATGAGATTTCTGGGTCTCAGCAGGAGTCAACAGAAGAAATGACCATCTTGTTGCTGGAACAGAACTAACAAATGGCTGGTGGTTTTTTTCTTGTTTGCACATACATTGTTTGAAATTTGGTATTATGTGTTCAGTAAGCTTGTAAGTACTTTACTCAAGTACTTAACATTAAATTATGTTGTACAGCAACTAGATCCTATTCTGGGCATCATTCTGCAAGGACTCCATAAAGATGATTCTTGAATTTGCTTAGATTTTTAGAAAGCACGACTCAAGAACAGCAGACCAAATTAATTATGGAGTTATATTTGGCTCTTGCTCTGCCAGGATTTCTTGTTTTCTCTAGTAGCATTAGCATTTAAAGATGTGACCTCTGTTTAAGTGTTAATACAGGTTATGGGGGTGGGTGTGAAAGCATTCATGTTCTCTCAGGGACCCAGAAGTCAATAGTATGCTGCCGTTAAACTCCCTGAATGCTTAGGTCTGCAGAACTTTGGAGGTGCAGGACTGTATGTTCTGCTGTAAATTGATTTTTTAACCATGAATATAGGTCATCATCACCCTGCCATCACTGTGAGCTGGCTCTTAGTGATCAGCATTGTCACCATTCTGGGCACATCCACTGCCCAGCCACTGGCACCTCTGAGTCCTTCCTGTTCCATCTCACCTGTTCTGTAGCATCATAACTCTCAGTCACTGTTTCTTCTACTGCCTTCAGACTTAGAAGCAGCAGATGCCTTCCATGAATACAAGGTGGGAAAAACCCTTTTATAGCTGAATTGTGTGAAGAGCTGGATATTGGCATTCTGGATTTTCAGGTTACTGTTCACACTATGTCCACATAATTTCCACTTCAGCTTGTGGATTGTTAATTCTTAAATGTCATTCTTAGTGTGCCAAGTGCCTCAGAAAACACTCTCAAGAGCACAGTTTTCTCCAGCTGAATTCACTGCAGGTTAAAGTTATTTGGATCCCTACAGAGTTCTCACTACAACACCCTGACTCTTTTCTGGACAAAAAGGGAAGTTTTTTGATGTTTCAAAATGCCAGTATGGCTTTCAAAAGTCTGTTTCTCAGTGTTATCACTCTGGAAAATAGTTTTGTATTTCCAAAAAGAGCATGCCAAGAAAACATACAAACTCCACAACTTTAGTTTGACTATGTTTGAATAACCTGTGAAAGTTTGAACCCTGAGCCTTTCCCCATTGCTCTGGGGCAGAAGGAAGTGCAAATAAATGATGCTGGATTAGTCTATGAAGAAGTATTGTATAAACACACTATATGGCTCAAGGTTAAAAATTATGCCATTAAGCTATTTTTCTTTTTTTAAGCATTAGTAGAATGACTTCTACCAATAACTCCTTGGAGTCCTCTCAGATGTGCTTCTAATTACCAATATCCTTGTTCTTGCAAATATTCAGTCACTAGTATTTATGCAAGAATCTAGAGCCCCTAAGAGATAGAGGTGAACTTCTTGAGGTAGTTTTAAGCAAAATTGAAAGCTACTTATCTAGAAAGTTGTGATTATGATGATTGCTCAAGTAAAGGGTGGTCCTGAATAAAGATGTGTTTATTTTAAGGGTATTCTAGAAGTCCTAGTTAAAAACACTTATTTTGCCCCAGACCATTTGGTAGTTTTATACAAGAGACATACTAATACTGGCAAATTAATTGGAAAGTACAAGAGAAAGAAATATGGTGTGTAACTGTAGCAGCCTGAATATTGCTGCATTTTGCTTTTGTTTTTCTTGATGTGATGAGTCTGTATAGGAGGGCAGAAATATCAGGAACCACAATCTCTTGTCCTTCCCTTCAGTTATGAAAGTGCTGCTTCTTATTTTCATCTTTTGTCTGACTCTCAGAGAAAGTGTAATTAATTACCAGGCTAGCTCTGTGCCCCAGGGAAGGAAATTCATTTGGAGGCTGGAACAATCTCTACTCTTGTTCTGCTTTTCTCAAAGGAAAGGCATTTTCCCATAGTTTGGTTTTTAGCTGCAGAACTACTACATAAAATTTCATTCAGAGTGGAAACTGGCTCTTCCATATTGGTGGATAAAGGTTATGGGTCGTGGCCTGTTAATGGGTAGGACAGAGGAGGTTATTTGTGCAGTGATTCAGGAGAGGAATCTGTTCAGTGTCACCAGGGCTGCTCTGTCACGTCCCAGACATGATGAAGCCTTAATGGCTTGAATGGAATCGCTCCCAGCGAGTCAGTCCATGCAGGAACTCTGATAATCCTTTATCACCAGGAATTGTGCATGGCAGATGCATGTTGAGTAAATGTATTGTACATAAATCTGTAAGAGGTTTTTCATTAACACTGTTCAGTTATTTTTGTTATCTGAAGTGCACTTCTAGGAGACTTTGACTTAAAGTGTTCAGAGATGATGGAAGATGTTTTGCTTCTTGCAGTGGAGTGCATGTACAGGCTGGTGGGGGGTAAAGACCTTGCATGCAAATGGTTCTGCTGTGGTTCATAATCTTCAGACATGGAAAGGAGAGGTTTGGGGCCCAAATCAGCATGTACTGAATGGGCACAGAAGTTCATGTTCTTTGTGTAGGTATGAAAATTTGCCTAGAGAGAGGTTTTTATGGGGAAGAGGATGATTAAATTTTACCCATCCTTTTTCTCTCACTGTCCTTCCTCCCTTCCCTCAATTAAGGTCTGACAGTCAAGCCTATCAGAATCAACTGCTGTTAATTTAGGCATTTTGGAGCAGGTTAATATTTACTCTTAAAGGGACTCCATCAGCTGGAATTGTAATGCACTCGAGATGAGCTAAATCTTCATTGCTCTCAGTTGTGAAATTACTGAAAGCTGAGTTACATGTCCTGGCCAAAATTTTATCAGTTTGTAGTGCTCCCTGAGGACTTCTTGTATGTGAGACTGTATTTACATGCCCACCTTGAAGCCAGGAGGGTTTTACCTGGTGAAGGGATGCAAAGGTTGGTCATGTACAAATCTATGGCAGGCAGGTGTGTCTTCCATACAGAGCAAGGGGAAAGGGATGCATCTAAACATCAGTTCCTGTTTTCTGTTAGAATTATCTTCAACTTCTGGTAGATGAAAAACAAAATTCCTACAGATGGGTGACTGTGAAGAATTGTTGTGTAGATATGTTACACATGCACTAAATTTTGCCTTAAAAAGAATCTGCTTAATTTAATCTTACATCATAGGTTGTTTTAGTTTAATTCCATTTTGTAGGGAAAGCAGATGAGTCAGTCAGTTTTGTCAGTCCTTAATTAAACTCCCCAGCAGCGTTGTATCTGAACAGTGATACACTGAAGGAGACTGTTAACTGTTACCAGGATTTCTATTTCACTTCAGCATTTACTAATAAAGAGTTTTGCAAAAATCCTCAGATCCTCTTGATTTTATAAAACCTATCACACTTCCCTCCTCCCCCCTTATAATTTGTTTTGGATTGATTTGCTGGGCTTTATGTGCCTAAACGCCGCTTTGTGGCTGGGTATTTTACCTGCGATGCGATGATGGCTTCCCCTGCCACCAAACACGCACGTTCCACCTTCCCTGCAGGTTGTGAATCGAGCGCATCTGAGCTGTGCCATTGTGGGAGAAGCGCCGTGTGCCTGGGAGGGGAGGGGGCGGGAGAGGGGTTTTCTAGGTCTGGGGGAAGGGACATCGCCCCTCTCGGCGCAGCCCTGCAGGGTGCGATGCCTCGCCCGTGACCTCCCCCGCCTTCCCGGGGCTCCCGTCCCGAACTTCCGTCCGGAGAAGGAAAACACGGCAGGGCTCGTTATCGCCGCCGCGGGGATCCCCCGGCCCCGCCCGCGGGACCCGCCGAGGGCAGCGGGACGAGGGACCCCCGGAGGGACCCCCGGCCCAGCCCCGGTTCCCGCGGGGCTCCCTCCGCACGTGGGGCCGCCCCGCCGGGCCCGCCCGGCCCCGCCGCCTGCGCCCGCCCCGCGCTGCCCCCGCCCCTCCTGGCAGCGGCGGGTGACTAATTTCTGTCATATGACTGTGACACCGAATGGAGCGGGGCGGGCGGAACTAGAGCCGCGGCGAGGGGACGGCGCTGCGCGGAGCCCGGCGCTCGGCGGCGGGGGCAGCGGCGGCGCCCCAAGATGCCGCCCACCCTCTTCCAGAAGCTCTTCAACAAGAAGCACGGGCTCATCTCCCCGGCCAGGGACGCCCGCGACGACTGTGTGTTCAGGTGAGCGGGACGGGGCCGCGCTCCTGCCCTGCCCCGAACTTGTGCGCCGAGTTCCCCGCTCGCTGCTCCGCCGGGGGGGCGCGGGGCCGGACGCCGTGCCCTGCCCGGTCCTGCCCTGCCCTGCCTGGCCCTGCCCTGCCCAGCCCTGCCCTGCCCGGCCCTGCCCTGCCCGGGGCCGCTCGGACGCGGTGCCCCCGCTCCCCCGGCCCCTCCGGACCCCCCGGGACCGCCACGTCGGGGCCGCCGCGGAGCCTCCCGGCCGCCTCCCCTCGCTCCCTCCCTCCTTCCCTCCTTGCCTCCCTCCCTCCCTGCCCTGCCGGGGCCGCTCCAGCGCCCGCCGGGCCCCCGGCCCGCGGTGCCCCCCCTTCCCCGGGCCGTGTGCGGGGCCCCGACCCCGCCGTGCCCTCCGGGGAGGGGGGGACGGGCGGGCAGGTCCCGGGGGAGCAGCCGCAGGAACGGGGAGAAAACGCCAAGTTTTGGCCCAGAGAAGAGCGGGGGTTCTGTTGGGATTTGTGTCGCTCTGGCAGCAGCGCCGGGCGGTGCCGGCGGGGGAGCGGGGCCGGGACCCCCGCGGGCTCACCCGGCCCGGGCCGGGGCTCGGGGGTCGGGGCGGAGGGAGGCCGAGCTCGGGCTCTGCGCGGGGCCTGAGCTCGCCCGGGGCCTCCCCGGGCTGGTTTGCTGGGAAACAGGTAGTTTTTGTGGCTCTGACATAAGTGCCGTTCCACGGGTGGATAACGACCACGCTCGAAAGCGATGCCGTGTCCGCGTCCCGGCCGGCGTGGAGAAGAGAGAGCCGGCACAGTCGTTTCAAAGTGCAGTTTGCCACCTGGATGCAAATGCCATCTGCTTCATTAGTAAGAGTTATGCGCGTCTTGGAGCACTGCTGGCAGGGCGGTGAAGCTCCCCTCCCACCCGCCGCCTTGAAATTTGTACCTACAAATGATCGGCCCTTGGGTTGCCCTGTGAAGGGAGAGCTCTGATCGATGGTTTTCGTTTTCCGTGGTGAGACACCCCTTTTAGCTGGAGTATTTAGGCAGTTTAGGTGGATAACAGTGTATCTGCAGTTATTGAAGCATCAGGATTTTCAAAGAATGTTGATGGACTTTGAGTCCCCCATGGAGTCAGGACATGCTCCTGGACACTACAACTTTTAAGGACACAAATCACAGCTGCTTGCACACCCCTTTGCTACTCACTGTGAAAGTGGATCCTTTTTTTAATGATCTTTTCTAAGAAACAAGGCATTTTAATGGCGTTGGTGTCATCTTATTTTCCAAATCAGCTTAATACTGGACCAGAGCCCTTGGTAGGGAAGGGGCACTAGGATTGCTCTGTGTAATTGTCTTCCCTTTTCCCTCACCTTAGTGATGGGTTTGTCTAGAGACTGGTGGTTAAAGCAACAGCTGCAGTGCAGAGCTGGGGCAGAAATGTGGGCATCACACCTGTGTTGAAAGGAGTGTTTGGCAAAGTCTGTGCTCCCCTGGTTACCTGCATCTTTCTGTGGCAAAACCGAGCCTGAAATTTAAAAAGGATGTCCCTCCACCTGCTCTTCCTTCCTTTACACAGGGCTGTTTCACTTTGTGATGTCAATTGTCCCTGGTAATTGGTGAATTTGCAGTTGGTTTTTTTTGGTGGACCCACAGGTATAAACTGCAGGGAGAGGCTCTGGGGAAGGTGGGAGACCCAGCTCTGACTCAGGAGAGCCAAGTAGTAGTTTTTAAAGACTAATACAGATGCCCTCTAGGCACGTTGCCTAACAGCTGCTTTTGTTTTCCAAATGGGGATAAGTCTGTAGTTAAGATCATACATAGTGAGGATTATCAGTTCCTGGTGAAACTTTTGGATAATGCACAAAATAAAGACTGTTATTTATGACAGCTTGGTCTTTAGACACTGGGAACAAGCACTCTGGAGTTCAGACTGTTCCTGGTTCCAGTGAACCTGGATGCAACAGCCTCACCAATTCCATTGGGACAAGGTGATATTTATGGATTGATACATTATTATCTGTTTATATTCTAAATAACCGAATGTTTTCCAGATATTCTGAGCACTCTTAGTTTTGACTGTCTTCACTTGGAAAGCTTTGTCCTCCTCTTGAGGAGATTGTGTAGAGCAACCATAAAAATGCATACATTCTGTACTGTATTTTGTGAATAATATGTACTTGGAGAGAGAAGCCCAACTACTGTGGCAGTGACACCAGTATAGCCGAACATTTCAGGAGGATTTAGATGCTCGGGTTTTTTTTACTATGAATATATTTTGCATTTCCATCAGGCTCACTGTGAAAATTTACTAATTCTACTTATCTCACCTTCCACTGTTACAAAAATGAAACCATACTTTTCAGTGGAAACGTATTTTGTTTAGTTGTTGTTTTGTTTGTGGTGGAGGTTTTTTTCTTCTTCCTTTTTTTTTTTCTTGTTTCCTGCCCAGAATCTCTTTCTACTGTGGGTGTGTGAAATTTTGTGAGCCTGGGTCTACCCAGACGGTGTAAAACCCTTCAGAGCTGGGTGCTGGAGAAGTTGACAGGTTTAGTAATGGGACCAGTAAGTTAGCAACTGTAAAATATTTGCCGAGGTGCCAGTTTGCCATTTATATATATATTTTTAATATCTCTCTATATATGCACTTTATTTTACAGAAGAAACCTTAGAAAATCACAATAGATCCACTACTTATTAGTCTTTTAGCTCTTCAGTTTAATCCAGGGCAATTGGCAGGCTTGGCCCTTAGGCTGAAATCTCTCAGCCCAGCTTGACAGTCACATAGTGAGCAAGAATATTCAAAATTTTAGTGGTACAATCTGTTTACAAGAAACACAGAAACACCTGCAAGTATTCTAGGGAAGAGACAAGCCCTTAAATTCCAAGATGTAGAGTACCTGCTGTCTACTGCAAATAATAATCACGTGAGTGGATTTTCCCCGAGGGTAACTTTTACTATAAATAGGAGCTCTTGGCCATATTGTAGCATCTGGCACTGGAGGCTGCTGGTGACAGGAGAGCTCAGCCCAGGCTTGGGCTCTTACAGTTATTAGGAATATAAAATTTCAGGTAAGCAGTTTTCTAGAATTTTAGACTGAGAGTATTGCTGTCATAAAAATCCATAAAGCTGTTCAGAATGGGCTCGGTAGGTTGAGCCCAAAGCTCAGTAAATTCCTGGGAGGTTTCAGGCTTTGTTGTCGAGGTGTGTGGGCAGCATTTCCAAGGGTAAATACAGCTGCAGGGACTGCAGCAGAGGTTCTGCAGGACACTGTGCCTGTTGGGGTCCTGGCTGGGCTCAGAGCACTCTGAACCTGAGGGAGAGGGATGGTCTTGTAGTACTGAATTAAAGACTTGTACATTTTGTAGGAGGGAAACTCAGTGGATTTTTTTTTCCATCTTCTGTATAAAGTTCAAATACTTGTTCCCTTCTCTCTCTAGACATCCTTCCTGCCTCGCTGGAGGATAGAGGGATTATTAATCAGGAGTTCTTTTTACACTGCAGCTCAATAAAAGCTTCAGTGTCTCTTTTTTATTTTAATCTCGGGAGCTCTAAAGAGCCCTCTCACCCCCAGGGGCATTCCACTGCTGTTTGCAAACGGCTTTGCTCTTGTTAAAGCACCTGTTGTAGAGGTACAGCTGTGTGGTGATTGTTCAAGCTTGACAGAACCCCTTCCAGTTTCGAGTCTTACCAACAGTGTGGGGTATCTTTGGGCACATTCTTCCTTTAGGGCTTTGCTTTGGTTATCTGGGTATTTTTGAGAACCAGTGCAGTTTTTCAAGTGGGGAGATAGAGGAATAAATGACTCTGAATGTTCTTTACTTATGGAGAAAGCCATTTTTTGTCATCCTGGAAATGTGCTTTCTTGGGGTCTTAGTGTAATACGTGCTGCTCCTGTATAGGGAGAATAGTTTGGAGGTTCCTGAGATAGGAAAGGCCTCAGGCTGACTGCAAAGTAGTATTTTGCAAAATCTGTCTAGGCAAGCATCCCCCATCAGCCCAGACTCTTTCTATTCCCCGTGGCAGTGACTTTAAATGGTATCCTGAGATTTGTTTCCTTTCACATCATTTTTGGCAGCAGGATTCATCCAGGGAATTGCAATAAACCCAGAGTTGGAATGGGTAGCTTGATGCAAAGATGCTTCAGGAGCCAGCTCCTCTGCAGAGCTATTGTTCTTGCACAGTGAAAATAG